AAAACAGGCGGGCGGGGGGGGGGGGGGGGGGGCAGCCGCCCCCCCTGCCCCCCCGGAGGCTACGGCCCTGACGTGACAGCAAGCAGGACCATTTTACCTTCGGAGGCACCTTTAATAGAAAACCTGGATGAAAACTCATCACTGGTAAAGCAAGCATTAAACCAAAAAAAAACTTGTTGAACAAACAGGTCCCCCATGTCACATAGAGCACTATTCACACAGGAGGTGCAATACTTATGTCACCCTCTGTGCATTCTAATCACCATGTCCATTTGGCATTTTCTGGGCAGGTAATGATTAAATGTTGAATCATATATCGTTTTTTTAATGAATAGAAATTCATAACCAGTAGGACGTTCACTGTTGCACAATATGATTTTTTTTTTTCAAAAATAATTTGTCATGTTTTCTATGAAATTTGATTAATTTGATTTTTTTTAATTTTAATTTTTCTTTTACTATTCAACTAACCTAGTCCTTTTTTCTGTTCCTTTGAATAATTTTTTTTTTAGTCAATGCACATATAACTTGTTATCTTTGATACCTAGTATTGCCAGCTTTTGAAAACAATTATATGCATGTGGTTATGTAAAAAATGTGTCAAGTAGCCATGATCATCGACAGAAGTAGTGTAGTCGCAGTTTGTCATAACTTAAATATTTATAGCTGGCTGTTTTGGCACTTCCTACTTTTAGCAACATTGGTATAGAGGTGTGTTTTATATTTTTAATTTTATTTAACCTGAAGTAATCACGCTGTGAACTTTTTTTTTAAATAAATGTAATGCTTCTGTGTGATGTTGTCTTTGTTTTACACTGTGACCAGCAAATCAAATTACTTAAAATTAATGTTAAGTACAGTTATGCCATGATGATTCTGTTTAACCAATGGACAGACCTGACAAAAGTGGTGAAACATAACAAATGCATGAAAACTGGTAATATGCAGATTGGATTTAATTTTAAAACACGACTTTAAGTAGTCAAAAAGTGCAATGTGTACCATCATTTTATCCCTCATTTAATGTGTGCACCGGGTAATCTAAATATTAGGTTGCATATGACAGAGGCCATTAGTATTGTGAGGGAATAATAGAGGCATTGTATTCTTTCAACACATATTTTCCCAGGCATTCTTAGGTTTCTGAGTGCACTACCAGTAATTTGCCCCATTGTTATGGTCAGTGCAAATATTTTGCTCATATTAAAAAAATTCCAGGTGCATATTAAGTGCAAAACTTTGAATGACATTCAAAGTGTATTCCTACTGCATTTTAAATATTCCCATTATATTCCACTAGCATTCGAAGCATTCAGAGACATTGAAGGATTACTGAAATATTTGGGTCAATTTAAATTCAGATAAATTTAAAATATTCAGCTTTCTGCTTGATTCCTTCAGCCTCTTGATTTCAGGTAAGTGTGATAGGGGTATTACTTAAACAATTGACATTCCTTCCTTAAACTAATACTTTTGTATAACCCTAGCCTGTACTAACCAACAGGACCCTGTTCTCCCATGATTTCCATAACTACCATCCATGCCTCACCAATGTAAAGGTTAAAAATGAAGATGAGTTATCTGCACATTTGACAGTTGTAGCTGACTTGCATCCTAGTTACAGTTTACAAGAAACATCTCGTTTGTCAAGCAGTTGTCGTTAGTTATTCTACGTAAAATGGGTCCCAGGCCATGAACAAATTCAGTATAAACATGTTAAAGTTAAAGCTTAAACTACATTTTAGTACCCCATTTCCATAGATTAGATCGACCTACTTTAGATCGACCTAACTCCCTGGGGGTTCACGCTAAATAGCTGTCAGCCGGGCGGACACAAAAGTTAATTATCCCCTTACAGCTTGTAGTAGGCGGGACGGATATTTAAGTCGGATTATCTGAAAGTAATCTAGTGAGACTCCCCGCGGGGATAGATCGCTCTAAAATCTATGGGAATAGAGCCTAGGACTCATTCACCCAACATCCATATCATTTTAAAGAAACATACATGTACAACTTTTCTACTAGTATCATCCCCTCCTTCAAGAAGCAATACTGATAAGTGCCAGTTTCCTCCCCGAGTTGAACTGACATTATGGCTGCAGCATTCACAGTTATAACAATTCTGTGTAATCAATTCAAAAACAAAAAACTATCATTTTTTAAACCATAAAGTGCACTTAATAATTTTCTTGGAGCAAAAATATAAACAATAGTATATTTGTGTACTTGGCATCTTCCATTTCATCAAGTCTCACATGCTTCGGTAGGGATCAGAGATTTTGATATTTTGTTTCTAACATCGTGTACAGCAACAGGTACAGGCATCACTGCTTAATTTCCATTGTTAAATAAAAACAATTCTGACCCAGTTTTTCTTTCAAATTTCATTTATTGACGGCAAAACATAACAGGGTAAAAATCACAAACAGGGTATAATGTCCTAAGAAACAAATAAAACCTTATTGTCTTCTTTAAAACAAACATCACAAAAGCAGTAGAAAACATTGTGAACTTTCACACTTTAACAGCAATATGTACGAAACCATGAGCACTTTCACCTGTGCACTGAAATGATTTCCATACCCTTGCTCAGATCTGTTGGATACCATGTAACTTTATAAGATACCATTCATCATTTTCTGAAAAACATGTTTAATTCTTAGTCGTTTTCCTTGAACTAAATTTAATACCGTTTAACTTAATCGGACACTCAAAACTATCAAGCCAGAGGCGGATCCAGAGATATTTTCTAACAGCCTTCCAAATTATCTCCATCCTCCATTTTTGACCAAGAGAAGAAATTAGATACATGTCAGTATAAACTTGAAAATCCAACCGTCTTCCAGAAGACGTCCTAAATCCACCCCTGCAAGCAATCATGTCAGCAGTGCCAGATTTCCACTTTGAACCTAGGACTGCTTGAGGATAACACATGCACTAAACATTGAGTCTATTATCCACCCAAAAACCCTCTAGATAAGCATAACCTATCTATAAGTAAAAGGTCTAGCCCCTGTTTCACACAACATCTTCTAAAAATATTGAAAGTTGGTGTAAAGTTTCTGGCCAAGATTTTAAATTTGACCCCCCCCCCCCCCTCCCCCCCAAAAAAAGGTAAAATAAGTAGTAGTCAAATGAATGAAATATTTTTATCTGGTAGACAAGCAATTGTACACCAACAAAATTAGTATCCATAATTTAATGCTATATTCCTTATACAACTGGTGACTGTATATCAATCTGCAAAGCTTCCAGCAATGCTTCTTTCTCAGCTAGTTTATCTTTAAGATTTGCAATCTCGTCATTTTGCTTTGTGATTGTATTCCTCAGTGACTTGATAATCTGATCTTTGCTCAGGAAAAGTTCACTCTGCAGTACATCAGTGGCAGATGGGCGCCTGACAGGAGTCGGGTCTGTCAGCAGATCTATTGTTTGAGCCTAAAAAAAACAAATTCAAACATATGTGTTTATAAAAGTCCATAATCTACTAAACTGAAAATAATCATGTTTCAGAAAAGTGACGAAATGATTTGTGGGCATACCTAAATAAATCACAATTCAAATTTTGATTTTGAAAATATTTTAAGATTACCAAATATGAATCGATTATATGGTGAAATGGATTAATAAATGTACATAACAAATTAATGTCTAGACTGGCCAACTCAATTTTAAATTCTACTTCTGCTACACTAGTACTTCCATGCAACCAATAATATTAGTTATCAATACTCACAATGATTGGCCAGTTTGTCCTGATCACCTGGGGAATGACTTCAGTGCTGCCACCTTTCAGAGCCATCAGACACTGTATTCTCTCCATCTCTGTCCCAAATGGATGAAACAGTTCAAACAATATCACACCTAGGCTGTACATGTCACTCTAAAATAAGATTGGTGGTGATATCTAATCAATTCTACACATTCTTAATATTTCTTTTTTCCAATATACCCTCCACTAATCTTGAATTTCATTCGACACTTCAACCTCCGTGATCTATTTATATTTTAATTTCAAAATATCAATTATATGCGATTGATAAATCAAGATGAGAAACCAACAACACTAATTATTAAGCTTAAGAATTGGATTTTTTTATGATGCATACTCTATGAGACCATAATCATTCTTGTGCACACATATACTGAACAATAATGAATTCAGAAATTTTCCTGGTTTTCATTCACTTTCTTAGGGTTCACAGATGCAATTCATGTTCAAATAGTCACCTTGGGGACTATGAAAAATAAAAAAGGCTCAAGCTTACTTGAAGAAAAAATCTAGTTTTTATTGAGTACTCAAAGTCCATTCCATCCTGTGGCAGGTTGAGGTCCACTGCCCCAGTGTAAATACTCACCTTGCTATCATAACATGATCCAGCTAGTTGCTCAGGTGCAGCATAAATACTGGTCCCTATCCCCGAGGTGTACGGGGTCTCATTGCAGGAACTCCATGCAGCTGACACTAAAATCAAACACAGTGTTCAAATCATTTTAATTTTATTTTATTTTTTAAAAATAATACCAGAATTGATTTTATTGAATTTTTCACTACATGCATAATTTTACCACTTTGTTAAAAACCATTCCCTTCACTTCCAAGCCAATTATATAAGTCATATTTTACATTTTTAGTAATTATTGGTCAAGTGTTGGTTAAACAAACAAAATATAAATTTTTTAACTTTTTCAAATTAGAGTCATATTGTGGAGAGACCAGGGGATGGTAATAAGTCTGGCACTTGTTAATAATAATTCATAGCCCCACACATGTAGCAGCTTGAGTTTTATACTCTGCATGGAGGTGAAATCTATTTATGACCAGACAAGGACCATAAGGACCAGGCATAAATTGCTGGCTGATCATTGGATCATCAGGTTTAAAAACCAATTTCTTCACTTTTATTTCTATTCTAGATGAATTTTCACTTAAATTTACCATCAAAAAATAAAAATTAAGTCCACTGTATGAACATACGGTCAGTCAATTTGGTGTTTTACTGTATACTTTTAGATGCAAAGAGATAAAATATAAGAAATATTTTTCTCTCACTTGTATTTTTTCCAAAAGGACTGAGTGGGAACATGGTAGGGCTCTCCAGTAGGATATCTTCCCTCGTCAAACCAAAGTCTCCAATCTTCACCTGAAGCTTGTCCCCATGGAGGAATATGTTCCTTGGCTAAAACAATTCATATGAAAAGATATGGTCATAATAATAACTAAAATATATGACGGTAGTGAAAGTTTTCAATCAAGAAAAGTAAGAAAGCTGGCCAAGTCATGTTGACAGAGACACAGGTCTTTCATATTCAAGTTGGTTCAGTCATAGCTGGGGAGCCTGCAGGAGAACCTGTCTTGAGTGATGAAGGTTGACAATGATTTAACAAGAAAATAATGCTAAGCACTCTGAGTTTCAGAGGTGACTGCTAATACATGCAAGTCTCCAGTAACCACTGAATTCTAGGGTGGCTAGAATTATCAAGGAATGGGGGGATGTCCAAGGGTTCAGTCAAAATCAAAATTTATATATAAAAAAAAAGAAATCCCTTTTTTTGGAATTGCTGGCAACAGGTATGTACATATAAAGAATCTAAAACACACCTTGAGGTCTCTGTGTATCAATCCCTGTGAATGTATGTACTCTGCCCCTTTAAATATCTGCTTGGCAATCCACATCAGTTCCTCCACCTCCACAACAGAGAATGGATCTGAAAACAAAAAAAAAAAAAATAGAGCAAATGTAGAGGGTTTTTAGATCATCAGTCTGAAAATAAAAGTTACATATTTACTTTACTGCACAAAATCTTTTCACCCAATTTTTGATTTTTTATGCAAGGTTGTTGGAACCTTTCTGTCACCTAGTCCAGTTTTGTATATATATATTGGATGCATAAATGTGTGTCTGTGAGTGCAGGTGTATGTGTGTGTGCATAAAAACATTTAAATTATATTATATGTTTAATTCAAATCACCACAGTCCTACCCTGTCCAGCCTGTAAACAACCGTTCCTCTCACTCAGCCACTCCCCCAGTGTGTGGGAGCAGAGCTGCATCTGGATATACAGAGTCACTTTATTTGTCACAAAAGTTTCACAGGGCACTGCAGTGTGCATAATACTGTGTATCTCACTGTCTATCAACCCATCCCCTGCTAGAGATGGCTCATGGCTTTGGCTCCTCCTGGGAAGATGGTGCCGCTGCCATAATCTATTAGTTCTACTGCTGGGTATATCAGCCATTGCTCCAACGGGAAAAGTCCCGAGAGTTTTATTAGCACTCCAGTTCTTTAATCTGGGTTCATTGCTCTCTGCGTTTGTGGCAGAACTTGTAGGATCAGTGGACGAGAATACAGCATCATCCTCTTCATGAGAGTCTACAGTCATATGCTTGGTTCTCTCAACTAATCTTTGCATTTCTGGTACAAATAAAGCATTCAAATTTGGCACCAAAGGACTATAAGGTAGGAGACTCCTGCACTTTACAGACTCCACTTTTTTGCTAGTCTCAGTTGTTTTATTTGGACTCCTTGAGTATTTATATTTTAGTTTAGTGGTAACTTGTCTGCGCATTGATGTCTCAGTGTTAGTCTCAATTTTAAGGTTACCCTCTTGCATTGAGGTGACCTTGATGCTGTCTTCAAACACAATACTTGTTCCACTGTACTCCTCCCCGTAACCCCCAGGGTCTGCATCCTGGGGTGAGGTTGAGAAAGATTCTTGGTCAAAGTTATTACTGTCGCTGCTTTCTTCTGAATCGGACATACTTGAAAGTAGAATAATAAATAGCTAGCTCCTTCACAATTCCAATTTGGGTTGTCAACTGAGAGTAAATTTAATTCATATATTTATCTGATTTGCTACTGTGGAATTCACATTTTTCAAACTATATTTCACAAAGAAAGCATAATTAAGGCAGTGTCTTCATATTCTCAATTCTTAATTTACAGCAACAGCTCTAAATATAATATTGCTGATATCAAAAGCAATTTTAAACACATAATAGAGTATACAAAAAGAAAAAAAAACACTTACTCATCCAGATCTCTGATTGGTGTGCTTGGTAAAGGACCCTGGGGTGGTTTGGCTGACATTGTGGGGGTCTGTTCCAGCCAGGCAGCATTATAACCCACTATGTACTGGTGACTCAAGTTGGCTAAAACTTTCACCTCTCTGAGAATCTGTAAACGAACACTGCAAGGTAACTGATGTTTCTAACTACAAAACAAGTGATATACTATTTCAAAAAATAAAATCTTTATGAGTCACATTTGCTGTACTGTAAAAGAGCAGCAACCCGGCTACCAGAGCCAAGTGGAAACTCATCCATACTACCCTTTAACACAGGAATAGAATTGGAAAAAAATCAAATAAGCATTTGTGAAAATTTGATCATGGCAAAACTCTCCTGGATGTCATGCACACAAAGAGATTTCAAAATGAAGAAGCTGGTACACATCAGTTCAGGCTATTCATTGTATACTGGCCACTTTTCTTTATCACAGTGAAAAATTTGAGATGTTACAACTCACCTTCACCCACCCCTCTGGCTGATTGGGTTTCAATCTAATTTTCTTCACTGCATACTCACACCCATCTAACTTGTGCTTGACCTGCAGTACAGCAAAAATAAAGTTTAAGTATAAATCATAATTAATATCTTACTAACAAATTATACACAATGTGTCTACAAAATTTATTTGAATTCTAACATCAGCCTCAAGTACATAAAACACACATGTAATATTTTTAGTCCAGAAATTAACTCAAGAAAATGTGTGCGTGTATATATTATTCTTTAATTCAATGCCCAATAATGTAATGTACTTGTGAGAATAGGGTTATGTAACACTACACAGGCCTACAGGCAAGGGGGCTTTGGGTTGGTCCAAGTAAACTTATAACTAGGAAATGGTCCACTCTGAGTCAATATTCTGCCCAGGTTTTGGTTGCTCATCCATTGAAATCAATGAGGTTAAGCTTGGTTTTTGTGGTTAGGAGATAAGGTGATCAATTTAATTTCAACACCATAGGTTCTATCATGACAGAATTGAAAATTGAAGCATGTGTCAGTTCTGCAGCCACATGGATCACTTTTCAACCAACCCCCCCCCCCCACCTCCAGTTGAAATTTTTGGCTATAGACCTGGGGCCAATTCCATAAAACCATTCTAAGCCCTAGTTGGTTGCTAAACTTCATTCTATCTCTAGTTACCTACTAAATCTATTCCATAAAACCATTCTAAGCCTAGTATAGTTCTAAGTTTCATGCTAAAGTTAGAGTAGGTCTGGGTCTCTTCTAAATCACTAGTATCATTCTAATTCATTTCTACCCACACCTCCGAGGTGTAAGGATGGCCAGGAGAATATTAGAAATAGTGGAACTCCGCAGAGCAATGCGGCGGGACGAGTGTTTCGGGATAGAAGGAATCCATTGGACATTTTTGATGATGTGTAACTTGTAAAAAGATACCGATTTTCCAGAGAAGGCATTTTGCTCATAACTGACATTGTCAAAAATGACATAACTCATCCAACCAGGAGAAATCATGCCTTATTACCATGCCAGCAGGTAATGATAGCCCTGCAATACTATGCAACAGGCACATTCCAATATGTTGTTGGGGACCCTTTGCAAGTGTCCCAGCAAACCGCTTGGCGTGCAATTCATCATGTATCAAATGCTCTTGCAGCAAGGATTGGGGATTATGTGGAATTTCCAAATGCACAAAATATGGCCAACATCAAAGATGGGTTCTATAGGATGAGAAACATACACTTCCCAGGTGTGATAGGTTGTGTTGATGGTACTCACATTTGGATTAACACCCCTCACTGTTACGAAGCTGACTATGTGAACAGAAAAGGATATCATTCAATCAATGTGCAAGTTATCTGTGACCACAAAATAAATAATAAATAAACAACACAATAAAGAGATTTTCTTGTGTTGAATAATTGGGCTTTCGTTGTCTCTTCCCTGAAGTTGCCATTTTGACCCCTTTCTGTATAGGGCTTTTATAGAATACATGGTAATGTCTTGACCAGTACTTCCCTCAGCCTGCAATCAGCTCAACTTTCACTGTCACTGCCTTTTGTTTGG